AGGGGCGAGTCCCGGCCCAGGCCGCCGGCACCCCGGTGCTGCCCTGGGTCGCCTCCTGCGCCCTCGTCCCGGGTGTCCTGGGTGCGCGCGTCCCTCCCGGCGTCCCCTCTCTGCGCCACGTGGCCTTGGGACAGGGAGATCGCGGCCTGAAAGGGGTCGGGGGGCGTTTGAGGGCGAGGGACTCGGGGTGGCGTCCTGGCCGCGGGACCCGTCGGGGCGGCCAGTCGGCGCCGTGGAGCGGGCAGGGCGCGCCAAGTTTCCGATGCCTGCCCGCAAGCTCCGAAAACATGAAGGTTTGGGCGGGCTGGTGTGGGAATGAATCACCCGTCGCGCCCTGGTGCGGTGACAAAAAGGGCCTGTGGGGCCCACCCGGCCGGGAGGGGCTGCGGCTGCTCCTCCTGGACGGCCCGGCCAGGGTCCGGCTGGGCAGCGGACGCTCGCCCGAGCTGGCCTAGGTGTGTCGTTGCTGAAAAATAACCGGCCCCTTGTCCTGCTCCGTCTCTGGCAGCGAGTCGTCCTCCACCCCGGGAAATGGGACCACACCCGAAGAGTGCCCGGCCCTCGCCGACAGCCCCACCACGCTCACCGAGGCCCTGCAGAGGATCCATCCCATTCCCGCCGACTCCTGGAGAAACCTCATTGAACAAATAGGTGGGTGTCCCCGGGGCGCGGCTTCATTTGTGACACGTGGATTTTTGGTGGGCTTTAGCAAATGGATTTCTATCCTGCTCCCCGTGGGAGGTCTGCTCGCCCAGCTCTTTCGTGGTGGAGGGCCCTCTGTCCCCTTGTCACTTCTGGGCTATGCAGGAGGGAGGATTCCATGAGCCCCCACCAGAGAGGGGCCTGGGGAGGACCTGGAAGCTAAAGCAGCTGCTGGATGCGCAGTCAGAGCTAAAGAGGGACAGTGCGGACCGGGATTCTGGGCAGAGCCGGGCTCAGGACCTCAGGAAGCGAGTTTGACTTTGCACAGGGAGGGAAAGGTCAAGTAGAGAGAGCTGCCCTAGGGGCCCCTGGACTGGGAAGGGAAACCACTCCAGGAATATGGCCCAGAGGGGAAGTCGAGGCATAGCCTGGGTGTGTGAACACAGAAAGTGGGTTGAGACGGCAGCCCAAGAACTTCTGCACTTGCATTAAAAAAAATTGATAGTGACATCGCACTAGGTCTCGTGTCATCACTACAGGCACCCATGAATGGGTAACGTGGGTCGGTTATTCTGAAAATGGTACCAGCGGCTTAGAAGATCTATTTGTTCTTTGACATTGTCAGAGCAGCCAACAGTCTATTCAATAAATAAAAATTCTAGGTTTGTAAAAAAATTTCTCTAAATAGATAGTTATTGTCCTCCAGTCCCAAGCGCTGGGACAGACTTGAAGTGTCTCCAGAATGGAAATGGAGCTTCTGTCGCCACAGGAGACCTGGTGTTTGGGAGACTTTTCTTTTCGGGACCAGCCCACTCTTCCCTGGCAGGGAGGAGCTGAGCCTTTGCAAAGCTGAGGGGGTGGAGCCCCTGCAGTGTGCTGTGAAGTTCTGCTGACTCCAGGAATTTTGTTCCCGGTGGGCCCCCAGCCCCTGCACCCTCTGCACCCCCCTCCCCCCAATCAGGAGCGGTGGTGGCGGCGGCTTTTCCTTGTGTTTGCTGGGGGAGTGGAGACTGGCTGATCTGAAACTGATACCAACTAGGAAATCCTTGTTTTGAAACAGACTTCTGAAAGCCCCTTTCTCCTGCTGTCTGCCACATATGGTCTTTTGTGGTGAAGAGAGCCACCTGTGCCTTAGATACACTGCAAACTTTGACTGCTACCCTCTCAAAAGGGTACCCTTTAGCTAAGGTCAGTGTCATAACTAGGAAGGACATCAACTGGGGAGGAGCTCCATGCCTACTTGCAGAGAGAGGCTCCCGTCTGCAGTATGGGTGTGTGCAGACTTTCCTTGCAGACAGTTGCACCTGCTGGGCCAGTGGCATAAGCTCAAAGCTGGGAACTGGATCCTGAGTTCTAATACCTGCTCATCTTGGGGCTCAGTTTCCCCATCAGGTACACAGTAGAGACTTTGACATTCCAAGTCTCTTCTGTCACTGCCCCTGCCAGTATCTGTGAATATTGTAGTGAATCTCTTTTCCTGGCTCCTGGGCCTGACCCATCGTAGGTCTCAACAGATGTACTGAACGACAGCACAGGGCCAACCCTGCCTTCATCTCACGTCCTTCGTCCGTAGACTTGACGTCTGTGCTAAGCAGATCTCTACAATAGCCTAGCTGTTTTTCAGCTCCATGAGTGAAGTAATTCTTTGCCAGGTGTCAGCAAACAATGGCAGGTTCATAAAGACGCAGTGTAATTAAGGCAGAAGGAAAGTGGAATGAATTTGTGGGCATTTTATAGACCACTGTGTTGGATTTTGCAGTGCCCCCTATCAAGGCCAGACAGAGTTATGTCAAGACCACTCATCGTACGGTATACAACTGTCAATACAGTTGGCTGTGCCCCTGGTATATCATAGACTCTGAGACCCTGTGACTGGTTTTGTGTGTCTGTGTGTGTGTGTATGTTTGTGTGTGCTGTTGCTGTATCTAGCACCTTACACAATGCTTGGCACATAGAAGGTACTCACTAAATAATAAATGAATTCCTTGCCCTTTAGAAGTTTCTACTTGAAAGATTCAAAGAAAAAAAAAACATTCTCTTTGGAAAGAGAGATTCTGAATGGCTCAGGGGCTTTGGCAAAAGGAGCTGGGGGCTTTCCCTTCTTCTGGGCAGCACCACCAGCCTGGTATACATCATTTTAATTAGGAGAGATGGGAACAGAGCCTTCCAGTTCCGCATGCATGTAATGCCAAGTGCAAGCTTTTACAGGTAAAGTTAATTTCCATATACAGTTGTGCTCACTGAATGTGCAAAATATAAAATAGGAAAACATGACATATTAACAGTACCTTGAGTATAGAAATCTAATCATGTAGCATGAAGTTTCTCAGGTAAAGCTACCCTATTTGTATTATAATCTGAATTTAAAGCAAATAAAAATAAAAGGTTATGAAAAATGGTTACATGGTGTATCAGATAACTCTATGTAATCACAATAACTCCAGGAAATTGGTGTCTAAATTCATATTCTAAATACCTCAGAAAAAAGTATGAAGTTTTAAGAAAATTCTAAAATTACTTGTATTGAGAATCTTTGGCTACCAGTAAAAAGTAATCTTAGGGGTGTGTGTGTGTGTGTGTGTGTGTGTGTGTGTGTGTGTGTGTGTGTATGTGTGTGGCTGGCTGGTACAGGGATCAAACCCTGGACCTTAGTAGAAAGTGATCTTAAACAGTGGAGGTATTTTATCTCAGTTAATGAGTCCAGAGGTAGGAATCTCCAGTTGGTTCATCCAAACCAACAGTCACCAGCTGATTTCTGTCCTTTCTCTCCCTCCATTGGGGCCTCATGTTACAAGATGGCTACCATAGGTCCAGGCATCACATCCTCAAGCAACCATGTGTAAATGCAGGAAGAGCAGTTTGTCTTCAAATGTCTATTGGGAAGTGACATCTTTTTGAGAAGCCCTTAGAAGATGTCCCCTTACTCTCTTTGGCCAGTGTCTTACTTCATTCCTGCTGCTATAACCAAATACCTTCAACTGGGTAATAAACAACAGAAATTTATTGCTCACAGTTCTGAAGGCTGGAAAGTCCAAGATCAAGGCACTAGCAGATTCAGTGTCTGGTGAGGGCTAGCTCTCTGCTGCAAAGGTGGTGCCTTCTCTGTGTCGTCACATGGCAGAAGGGGCGAGGCAGCCCTCTTCAACCTCTTTTATCAGGGCACTAATCCCATTCATGAGGGCAGAGCCCACATGACTTAATCACTTCCCCAATGGCCCCACTTCTTAACACTATCCCATTGGGTATTAGGTTCCTACATAAGAATTTGTGGGGTACACCCACATCCAGACCATAGCAGCCAGGTTGTGTCATATGCTCATGTCTAAACCCACCACTGGCAAGGGGAAGGGAACCGTGCTGGTAGGTTTTGATCAGTCAACATTCAGCTGCTGCCCTGAGCACAGAATGGGTCAGCACCCGAACAAAACCCCACCCTGCCAACTGGGAAGCAGGGATGTGAGGGGATAAGGAGAGGCCACCAACAGTGTCTGCCACAGTGTGATTTCAGATATGTTGTTTCCGGCCCATTGCATTTTTGTCTCTTTTCAGCCTGTGTATCACAGTGAGATGATCTAGATAGTATTTACCTATGATTTGCTGACTAGAACACACGGAAGACATATTTTTGAACCTCCAGAAATATCCCAAATTAGCTACTTTTGTGAGGCTTGAAGACTGCATTTTTTAAAGGTGCTCAAGTCAACAAATATTTGAGTACCTACTATGTGGGAGACACTATGCTAAGCATTGGAAAGTGAATCCAAGCCAACCCGTGGAAACCTGATGTCTTTAAACCTATGTAAACACAGTATCAGAATCACAGGATAATAATTAGCTTGATGTTGGCAACAATAGTTATATCTTATGCTCATGATCCAACCAATTTATATGATGACGTTGGACCTGTCTTTACAGATCTTCAGTCTGGGTTGCATTTAGCATTGACTTTGTTCTTTTTTATTCCTTTGGTGAATTAACTCCATGTCGTGTTCTGCTGGACTGTAGCATTGTAAAAACACAAGATCTTAATTTTTTGAAGCAAATGTTATACTTACCTTAACATAAAGGTTTTATAATCTAGATTTATGGAGCATTGGAAGCTAATTAATCCACAGGTTCCTATTAATGAATGTAATTTATCCAGCTACATTCAGGATTTCAAAGGTAGTCTGTTTTGGTTTTTTTTTTCCTTTCCTTTTTCTACTGTTTAGACATATTAACGATTAGATAAAGGAGGGATCACAGCTCACATTTGTGCTGGGTTGTAAGAGCAAGCGCGTTACAAATGGTACATTTATGCATATTGGAACTTTCCTGGGAGAATCATCTGTGTTTTATAAATAGACATATCAAAGGGCCCCAGCCCCTCTCCCAGCCCCGGGGCAGTATGTCCCCTGCCCACGGGGCCTCTCCACCTGTTGGTCCTGAGCGCATCTGATCTCCCCCTCATCCCCTCCCCCAGGCCGACCCTCTGCTCGTGTTTCTTGTCTCCTCGAATGGTGCCACCAAATGTTTCCAAGCTGGATATTATTTATGACCCAGCAGCAGCCAGTCACCAGAGCCTGTCCTCAACCTTGTTACTGTCCTGGAATCAGGCCTGGGCTCCATCGCCTCCTCCAACACTCACTTGAGGCCTCCATCATCGCTCTCCTGGGGAGCTGCTGCAGTCTAGTCCATGGTTCTCCTAAAATGTAGGCAGAGCCTGCATGCCACAGGTCTCTTGGGGCCTCGCCCCCACCCCTCGGGATAGACTTCTGCCTCGGTGGCCCAGCAGAAGAAACCCTTGGGGGTCCGACCTTTCCTCCCAGCCTTACAGCAGGATCACTCTCTCCCTCTCTCCTGCCAGCTATGGCTTCCTGTGCCCCATGGCCAAGACATCCGTATGGGTCTTCCCTGTGGAGGTGCTGCTACACTTGCACTGATTTACCTGGACCCCAAATCTCCTCTGAGACTTAGGGTGCATTTATCTCAAGTGCAATTGGTCAGGGAAGTAAGTCTGAAACTGAAAGCCAAAAAGGAATATTTCCCTTTGGAATCATAAGGCTGATGAAATATTGATTTTCCCTTCAAAATGAGAATTTACAACTACTCCCATTTTAGAAACAAATATACTCAAGTTTTAATATTGAAGCATTTAAGGCTATGGGAAGTATCTTTTTGGGATATTGAAACGTAATTGGGACATTTCCATCAACTTTGGGCACATGGTTATTAGCACATCAAGTTGTAGATTCTTGGTTTTTGCCAAGTATGTGTGGGAAAAGCGTATATTTGTGTGATTGGATTTCTGTCAGGGGATTTCTTTACTTATCCGATAAAACTTCCACATGCTGATTTTTCCCAAGAAATGAAGACGATGGCAGTTTATTCTGTGGTCCTGGAGCCTGTCGTGGAGACGTGGCAGGTCTGATGTCCTTTGTGTATCCACAGGCAGGGAGCATCCACTCTTGATAAGAATAGGATGCCTTGACTTAGCAACTCCAAGTGATGTTCACGTAAAATCTTTCTCTCTCCTTTATTACAACTCTCTTTGATTTCAGGGCTCCTGTATCAGGAATACCGAGATAAATCAACTCTCCAAGAAATCGAAACCAGGAGGCAACAGGATGCAGAAATACAAGGCAGTGCCGATGGGTCCCCAGCCAGCGAGGACACTCCAGAGGACGAGGAGGGGGACGAGGAGGAGGAGACGGCCAGCCCGCCCGAGAGGAAGGCTCTGCCCCAGATCTGCCTGCTCAGTAACCCCCACTCGAGGTTTAACCTCTGGCAGGATCTTCCGGAGATTCGGAGCAGTGGGGTGCTGGAGATCCTGCAGCCCGAGGAGATCAAACTGCAGGAGGTAACGGGGCGAGGGGTGGGAGCATCCTTCCAGGATGGACAGGGGTTTGCCTTCACGGATGCGGGGTGAGGCTTCCTCTGGGGGGTGAAGTTCCCTGGCTGGTTCACCAGAAGAATGACTGGCTGAGTTTTTCCACCTAGAACATGCAGGAAAATAAACATTATTTCACGGGCAACAAAAAATATCCAGGTGCCTCCTAGGACAGCTTGACTCCACTAGTGAGTGTCCACAGAATTGCTGTTTTATGAGACAGTAGCATTGCATCTTCTACACCTTCATTATTGTTGTCGGGTGTTTCCACTACACACACGAGCATGAAAGCTCTATGGGATGATGAACTCACTGTGGGTGACAGAAATCAGTTGTGTTTCTTTCCATCCACGGTCTCATCCCATAGCTTTATTTGGGGGCCGTTTGACTTTTGGGTGGGAGGGAGCTCTGAAAGAAATCCCTTGGGCTGCACCCACTTCTGAAATGGTGCAGAAATCTGGAGCCTGGGTCTCTCGCCCTTTCATCTGATGGTCCAGGCAGAATTTGACCATCAATTCAGCTGCGGCAAAACTATTGAGTTGCCTGACGGTCTGTTATTAGCGGGGAGAAATCCATCAAATATTAACAGTGACAGAAACGAGTTGCTGAGAAATCTAAGTGTTCGTTTTAGTTGAACAAAGGTTATTTGGGTATCGAGGAAAAATTTGTGGGGAAACAAGAGTATGGTCCACAGTAAGGAGAGAGAATGGTTGAGAAAAATTGACGAGGCAGGTGTGTGTTAATTATGAAATTTAAAAAGCGGGTTCAGAAGAAAAAAATGAAGAGATCTGGTTTTTTTTAAGCACTTGGTCAACCCAAATTCCGTCGTCTCTCCTCTCAGGTCCCCTCCCTCTCCCTTGCGCACACCCACGCTCCCGAGCACACTCAGGCCTGGCTCGTGCTTGTCCCAGTCACATGCAGTGTGGATCCAAGGGTCCTGTCCTCGCTTAACCCCCATTACTTCTGCACTAGATTCTGTAGAAATGTTTGCTCCAAACAGTAGACTCTATATACAGTTAATGACCAAGACTGAGATAGTTCCCGGCCGGCATCATCTAACTCCGATGGGTTCTACAATGGATTTGCTGGAAGCTTGATAAAACTTGATTTTTGAAGGGTCACCTAGGGTTCACCTGGTGTCCTGCCCTGTAGAATCAGGGAAAATTTGTTTACACTTTAACATCTCTTGTAACCTGTGAGCAATGATTTGTAAATGGCTGTGTCAAGAGTTTTTGTTTGTTTTTAATGAAACTTCTGATGTAAAACTTAGAGATAAATCTTAACAGAACTTAAAACATGATATAAACCTTTTACAACATCAGCAAAGCTAAAAGCAGAGAAAGAAGCGTCCATGTGATAAGAGGAGAGCAAACAGGAAAGCAGCAGGGAGATGAACATGGCAAACACGGGCAGAGCTCGTAACAGCACGTGCGTAAACCCGTCTGCTAAAAGTCAGAAATTCTCCAAGTGATTAGAAAACTAAATACAACTGAGGGCAAGAAAAAAAAATGCCAAAGTAAACGAAGAGTCATTTTGCATTGTTAAAAGTATACTATGCTTTGCTAAAGGTACCATTTTATTTTTGAATGTTTCAAAATTTAAAAAGTAACTCATTAATACATTTTCGTTGTTTAAAAAAATGCTAACAACACAAACGTGTCCAGGCCTTTTCCTGGGTCCTGGCCTCTCGCTGGAGGACCAGCTTTATCTCCTGATTAACCATAGCCGTATGCAAGTCTAATTTTTAAAAAATCTCTTCAATAGGACTCTGTTTAATATGCCTAATTGTAGAGTTGAGGCACTTATGAAGTCACTACGTGCAAGAGTTTTGTAGATTTTTGCAGCGTTTCCCCGCACCTTACACTTGTTTTAGCTACACCTTGTTCAGCAGCAGGTGGGTTTTTTTTTAATGTTTTTTAGCAATTTGCCTTTACTGGACTCTTCAGAGCTTTCAGCTTAGTTTTCATTAAAACAACTCCCTTTGCACTAAAAACTCATTGGTTTTTATCATTAAGTGATATAGTTATATCACAGGGACACCTGGGTTGAGTACGTTTAAGAAGGAACACAAGTGGCTGTCGGTGTACGCTCACAGCAGGAGAGGCGTTCAGGTGGCTTCCGCCCTGAGCACTCAGCGGGTCCTCTCACAGCTGGCAGGTAACAGAGACTACAGATGAATTCAGCAGCTCGGCCCAGTGGAGGCTGCTCAGGACATCTCTGTGCTCCTGTGAGACTAGAGCCGTAGGAGAGATGCCCAGAGGTGGGACTGCTGGTCAAAATTGAAGCGCATCTGAAATGGTGCTGGATACTGCCCAGTTGCCGTCCAAAAGGTGGTCCAAGCTGCCAGCAGCATGTGAGGGGCCTTGTCCCTCCCTAACCCTGCTGTCACACTTCATTGTATCTCTAACCTGCTGCATGAAAGGTCCTGTATTGTTTTAACCTGCCTGTCCTTGATGACTCGTGAACTTGAGCGTCCTTCCATATGTTCATTGGCTATTTCTATGTCTTTATCTATCAGTGGCCTCATTTGTCCTTTGCCCTTTTTTTCTGTTCGGTTGTTTATATTTATCTTTTCTATTTATAGCAGCTTTTTACACATTCTGGATATTAATTCTTTTTAATATTTTCAAATGTTTTCTCCTTCAGTATAGGACAGGAGAGGAAGTAGACTAGTGGCATAAGCAGTGGCGCCCAACTTCCTGGGTTTGATTCTCAGCTGTGCTACTTCTAAGCTGTGTGACCTTGGGCAAGGTGCTTAACTTCTCTGTGCCTCGGTTGCCTTATCTGTAAAATGGGGATAATCGTAGTACCCACCTCCCAGGCTTGTGCAGATTAAATGAGTAACACAGACAAAGAGCTAGGCACAGATCCTGGCAAAAAGCTGACACTGAAGCCTGACTTACCTTCTCACTTTGTTCTTGGTATCTTTTTTCACATAAAAACTTTTTCTCATATAAAAATCTATTTTCATTTTTATTGAAAATCTGTCAGTCATTTTATCTATTTAAACCTAATGTTCTAGAGGTTGCATTTTATGATTAGGAAGGCCTAATCCCAAGAGGTTCACTTTACAATGAAAAGGCAATAGTTGGGAACTGTTATGAACTAGACAGCTGATGAGAACAGAATCTGCAGAAGTTGCCACACACATTACACTATCCTATAGGAGCGGGTCATAGCAGGGACACAGGGAATCTGAAAAAAAAAATAGATTGATTGAAAATATTCTCAGTGAACTTTGTACTCTCTAAATCTCCACCGTCCACTCCAGTAGCCACCGGCCACATGTGGCTGTTGAACACTTAACATGGTGAGTCTAAGTTGAGATGTGCTGTATGTGCAATACAGACAGAAGATTTCAAAGACTTAGTACAAAGAAAAAGAATATAAACTATCTTATTAATAACTTTTATATTGATTAAGCATTGACATGATAATAGTTTGCATATATTAGATTAAATAAAATATTGGAAAATTTCCCATTTCCTTTTACCTTTTTAAATGTGGTTACTAGAACATTTTAATTTTTTTTTTTTTTGTCTTTTGTCTTTTTCCGTGTCCGGCAACGGATCGCAACCCTCAGTGTTGCCCCCGTACCGGACCGGGGACCGGCAACGGGATTGCAACCCTCAGCATTGCTCCGGTGCCTCGCTCAGCCAGTGAGCGGGAACCGGTCTGTATGTGGGATCCGAACCCTTGGGCGGGAGCGCCGCCGCACTTCCCAAGCGGCGCACTATCCAGTGCGCCACCGGACCGGCCCAGAACATTTTAAATTATATATGAGGCTCACATTATATTTCTGTTGGACAGCACTGCTCTAAGGAGAGGCCAAACTTTATTTTCCAGTATCCATAAACACCCCCCAAAATTGGTCGTGTATTAAGCCATAAAGAAAAGCTCAATAAATACTCATTAAAATTGTAAGGCCATAATCTCTCACTACAGTGCAGTGAAATAAGAAAATAAATATAAACACTATAAAAACCTCAAATCCGAAATGTTTAAAATGCTTCTAACCTTGGAGATGGGAAAATAAATTTTATGATTACTGACTATTCCAAAGGTAATGAGGAAGGGGCTACATTTTAAAACATACAGAATGCTGTCAAAGCTGCATTTGGATAAAAATTGACAACTTTACTTGCTTTAATTATTAAATAAGGAATAAATACAAAATTAAATGAACTCCTAAGATGTTCAGCTTGAGACATTAGGAGAAAACACACTCTTAAGGAGAACAGATAGGGTAGAGATCCGAGAAGATAAAAGTCTTAATGCGGTGAGTGATTGGGAAAATATAAGCTACCAAAAATTGACTGAAAAATTAAAATTTAAAAAACAAAAAAATATACCAGTAACCAAAAAAAATCACCTACAAAAGAGACGTTGAACCCAGATGACTCATGTTCAAAGCACGGAAGAGTTCCATGTTTCTTAAACTGGTCCATAGCAGCCCTGCTCAGTAGAACTTTCTGCAACGACAGAAATTTTCTATATCTGCAACTGCAGCAGTCACTAGCCACACGTGGCTATTGAGCATTCGAAATGTGGTTAGTGCAACTCAGGAACTAAATGTTTAATTCTATTCAATTTAACCTAACATCAATTTAAGTAGTCACGTGTTCCTACTGTGTTGGTCAGTGCAAGTCTAGAGCAGAGATCACCAAACTTTTTCTTAAAGGGCCAGATAGTAAATACTTTGGGCTTTGTGGGCCATCCTGTCTCTGTCAAACTACTCAGCTCTGCTGTCATATGTGATAGCAGCTGTGGACAATATTTAAAGAATGGCTGTGGCTGTGTTGCAGTAAAACTTTATTTACAAATACAGGTGGCCAGCTCATGAGCTGTAATTTGCTGATCCCTGGTCTAAAGAATGGAAAAGAGAGAAATACACAAATTATTTTAAGGTAGTATAATATTGATAACCAAATCTGAATATTAGAGCACATACATATACAAAAAAAAATTAT